CTAGGAACCCAGTGCCATTCTGATTGTTAGAGAGAATTAGCTTTTCTAATCCCAGAGAGATTAATAGAATGAGGTGTCCTCATCTCTACTTTGGGAGCAGAAATGAAAACTTTTTTTAAAACCTATTTTAAAATGACAAAGGGGGGGTGGGAAATAACTAGTCAAAATAATTAATTACTTGTTAAACATTTATTGCTCACCTAAGTCAAAATAAGGCAAATAGGTACCCTCCATGTAGTATACAATGTCTGATAGGGAAAAACTGTGGTATAAAATAGTAGCCATTATAAACAAAAGAGTCTGTCTGGAGCATCCTGAATGGGGGACCTGTTGAAGTTACAGAGCAGGGGCACACCCTGCTCCACGCAGTGTGTGAGGAGGATGGATCAGTTGCCATTGCAACCAGGTTTCTGTACTTGGCACCAGTTCTTCCTTGTATAAGGCTTCATAGCCATTTGTTGCGAGAGTGGCAGTAAGGAGTAAGGCCAGTTGAGAGGCTGTTTTCTGCACCCCAGCCTTAATCAACTATGGAGAAGGACTTGACAAAACCTGGCAAGAGAAAAAGGAAAGGCCAGAGGAATAATCAAGTCAGGAGAAAGTGGTGGAAATGTGAGGCCCTATCCTGGTCAATTTGGGAGTCATCTTCATACACATAGTCATTGAAACACAGAATAGGACAGGAAGGAGAAGAAGCCCTGTACATCATCTTGGACAAGGCTATAGAGTTAGGGACCAGACAAGCCAGCTAGGAGAGTGAAAAGAGAACCAGGGTTTTACTTAAAGGAAAGAATTTCTAAATGGAAAAGATTGGGTTACTTGTCCAACAAGAAAAGCCAAGGAAAGTAAAATTACTGTTTTGTAGGTTGAACTTTTCATTAGAGGTGATGGAGTTGGATTTGTGTAGGGAAATTGGAGTGACCCTTAAATCCCACAACAAATCACATGCATTGCTTTTAGTAGACTTTCATTATGCTTAGAGGATTAATGTATATTTTTCATTTTATTAATTGTTCTTTTAAAGGGGGAAAAGAATTCTATAACCTAGAGGGGACTGTGGGTAAGGAGAGGGCATCTTCCTCTGTGCATGTACACTTTCCATGTTTTCAAGATTGACAAAACATTTTTTTGTTTATTAATATAGCTGCTGTCATACTCTCTAATTTGAGGCAGCTTAAAAAATACGTGATGCATTTTTTTCTTTATTTTAAAAAAAATCATTTTATTTGGGCTCATACAATTCATCACAATACATATATCAATTGTGTAAAGCACACTTATACATTTGTTGCCCTCATCATTCTCAAAATTACGTGATACATTTTTTAAAAAAATACTTTTATTGGGGGCTCTTACATCACAATCCATACATTCCTCCAATGTGTCAAGCACATTTGCAACTATGCCGCCATCATCATTTTCAAAGCATTCTCTTCCCACTTGAGTCCCTGATATCAGCTCCCCATTTCTTCCCCTTCTTCCCCCTGCCTGCCCTCCCTCACAAACCCTTGATAATTATAGATTACTTTTTCCATATCTTACATTGCATGATGTCTTTTTTGAAGTATGAGGGGACTTCAAAATTCTTGGGAAAATGTAATCAAAGGATAGTGGAAGTTTTCCAGGAGCTTTTTGAAGCCCCATTGTATATAGTTTAGAATCTGAACGGAAGACATACATAAATACTGCCAACAAGCGGTAAGAGAAGAGTAAAATGCTGTAGAAATGCAAAAGAAGGAGAGATTATTTCCAGCGTTTTCCCATGGTGTAGGGAAGGGGATTGGGGGGCATAAATTAGAGAGTATAGGAGGAAAGTATTTCAGGTAGATGGACCCCTGAGCCAGATGTAGAGTCGGGGTCTTAAAGGGGCATCCGGGTGTCTCTCTTTGACTGATGTGTGTACACATGTATGTGTGGTGGTGGAGGAATTGCTTAAAGGAAAGTTAAGAGAAATAATTATGGCAAGGTTATTTGGGGCCAGATCTTGAAAGATTGTAGACTCAGGAGTTTCAACTTCATTCAAAAGGCAACAGGGAGTCATTAAACATTTTTGAACCGAAGAATGACATTCTCTAAATTATCATTTAGAAAAATTACTTATTTCTATTATTTGTAATTTTAATAAGCATGCTGTACTTATATCATCAGCAAAATATGATGAAGATAAAAGATTCTTCTAACAGCCCCATTTAAGTTGGATTAGAAAGTGAGAAAAGTAGTGATAGGGAAACCAATTAGAAGATTTATGCGATACTTGCAACATGAGTAAACTACAGTCCCTGATGTCTGCTCTTTTGAAATGGTCTTTAAGTAGTCTGCCTGTTATTAAAATTTTTTTCTTCTTTCTTCCTTTAAAAAAAATTTTTTTTTTTTACATTTTCTGCTAAAGTAGAAAGAGTTAAGGTCATGGGGATGTCTTTACAAGAAACAAGCAGGAATATAGCTGGAGCTCAGGAAAGTCTAAAGCTAACATGTTATTGATAAGTTTGTCCTTCCTTCCCCCTCTATCGGGTTCCTTTTATTCTTTATTTGTAAACTTTCTTCTTGTCTAAGCCAAAGTTGGAAAATGGTCAATCTCAGCTCGTATATTTAGATATTACCATGTCAGGCAACCATGGAAGAGAGGCAAACTTTGATCGAGATAGAAAGAAAGATCACTAGAGAAAGGGAGAGTGTGAGAGAGGCTCTTAAAAAAATTCCTGTAGATAATATTCTATGACATTTGTTATACTTTTCACAATGTGTCAGCATTATAGTATTTATTTTATGAGCCAAGCTGCCTTTTGGCTTATGGGTGACCACCAGGAATAGTTTGAGTTTCAAGTTGTTGGTTTGTTTGTTTTTTTGAGTTCCAAGTTTAAAGTGTATCCCAGGACACTAGTCTCAGGGGTTCCTGTAATCTCTTAACAGTCCAGTAAGTGTGTCTCTTTTTAGGAATTTTAGTTTTGTTCCACAATTTTCTCCCACTCTATTCAGGACCTTCTCAGTGATCCCCACCAGAGCAGTTGGTAGTGGTAGCCGGCTACCATCTAGTTCTTCTGTTGTGGTGGTTGCTGTAGACTATTATAGCTTAGTTGCTTCTTTGAGCCTTCGGTTTCCTTTTTTGCTCCAGGAACATATGCTTGCAAGCTCTTAAGACCCCAGGCACTACTCACCAAGCTAGGATATAGAACATTATCTTTATGAACCATGTTATGTAATTGACCATGTTTACCTGCTTCCTCCCTCCCTGAGACTGACTTACTGTGATTTGATTGAAAGTTTACAGGGCATATTGATTTCCCATGTAACAAATCATATACATTTTGATTTGTGAAGAGACAGATGGACTCTGGCTTATAATTTAAGTTTCTCAGGGATAGGACTTTGATTTTATTGTTCTCTCAGATGACCTTTTACTATTTTATGGCGTGTGCCAATCAACTGTGGCCAAGAGAACGTAAATACAGTGTGGGAGTTTATTCCTCTAGATAAGATAATCGGCTAAGAGAGGTCATCATAAGTTAGGCAGAAATCCCAAGAGTGTTTACTATAGCTATGCACTTTGGATTTGTATCATTACTTAATTTATTGGCTGGAACCGAGCAGATTATGTTAAATTTAGAGAACATAAAAGCCATACAGAAATTTTACCTAGTAAACTACTGTGTTTAAGTTGAAACTTAACAAAACTGGGTACCTTTATGGGGTACAGGACTTATGGGCTGGAGGAGATAGGTTAGGTGTGCTGTATAGCATACTGGATATCTTCTGTATCTTGTCAGGGTAGCGGTAATATAGGTTTATGTATACAGTATATCAAAATTCATCAAGATGTGTTCACTTTACTATATGTAGCAATACTTAAATATAAAACAGTCAACATTTACTTGTTTGGTTGATCTGCCTTGCTTTCTTATGTTGTTCGCTGCCATAAAAATCTGGTCCTCAACTCATGTAAACTACATACAACGGAACTGTGCCACCCTCATGATTGGTTGTGGATGGGTCCATTTTGATCTGCAGGGTGTTGCTCACTGGCTAATTTTGGAAATAGATTGCCAAGCTTTTCTTTCTAGTATATTTTAGACTGGAAGATTCACTAACACTTGCTCACCATCATAACAATAATAGTACCCAAGCCTCCAGTGATAAATGTGTGGTGGCCACTCATGAGGCACATTGACTGAAAACCAAACGTGGATCTCAAGCATCTTGTTTATTATATGCTGTAGAACTGACTAACTCAGTCACCTTATTAGGACAAAATAGAACTACCCCCTAGGGTTCCTAAGGTTATATTTTTTATGTACAAAGGAGCAGTAGGGGCTCAATGGTGAAGTGCTCTAGTGCTAACTGAAAAGGTCAGTGGCTCAGACTCACTAGTTTTTCTGTGGGAAAAGAATGTGTCAGTCTCCTTATGTAAAGAAAGATTTACAGCCTGGGAGAAACCCTATGGGTCATTTCTACTTTATTCTAAAGGGTAATAACGGGGGGTCAAAATTAGACTTTGTGGCAGTGGGCTTGTAATTTTTTGTGTATTGATCACCAAGTCTTTTCTCCTGTAGAACTGCTGGTGTCTTCAAACGGCTGACCTTTCTGTTCAGCCAACAAGTTCTGTCAACGATGTTATATAAATAATGTTATATGAAAACAAAAAACCTCACTGCCATTGAGTTGATTTCAACTCATAGCACTCCTGTAGGACAGGGTATAATTGCCCTTGTGGGTTCTCAGGACTTAATTCCTTATAGGAGTAGAAAGCCTCATCTTTCTCTTGCAGAGCCGCTGGTGGTTTCAAACCGCTGACCTTATGGTTAGCAGCCCAGTGCATAACCACTACTCCAGTAGGGCTCTATCCAGTGTTAAATATACCTGTGTATCATTGTAAATCAATTTCCCTTTTAATTTAGGCAGATACACTTAAATTTGCGTCTGTCTCAATTTGAGAGTTTCAGAGATAAAAACATAATGACATGTGTAATGCATAATATAAAAATTAATTTTTCCCCCCTCTGATTTAGGAGCTGTGACTGATGAGAATTAAAGGCCATGGATAGAGATGGACTTGAATTGCAACCACAAGGGCCAAACTCATTTTTTGATACAACAGGTAAAAATAACTACTTGGGGGTGTTCTACTTCCTAACTACCTAATCAGAGTTGGTTATCAAGAGGATGAATTAATTGGTGGACTCTCACATTTATATTCACACTTAAGTGTCTTGTTATCCCTGTGATAGACTCTACAAACGTTAAAGAGTATATTATAATTCTCCTTTTCAAAATTTGAGTCCCTCAGAACTAGCTCTCATGTTCTGTCAGTAAAAGCAGCAGTATCACTTTGCCCACCTCTACCACTAAGTCCGATTAGTTTTCACTTTGAAAATGTTCCTTGTTTATATCTGTGCCTTTTCATTCTACTTCCCACTCTCATCTCAATCTAAGTCTGTGATAACCTTTAAATTCTTTTCCTTGTCTTTAGTCTCTTTCTTCATATAGTCTACCAGTCAGAGTGCTCACCATAAAATAACCTGAATCATGTCATTTTTCTGTTCTCTTTTACCCAGTAGATAAAGTGTAACCCAAGCTCTCCCACATTCTGACCCTTCTTGCATTCACAGCCCTGTCTCTCAGAAGTTCCCAAAAGGAACCTTCTTCAAGCAGATGGAAATGTAACACTACCCAAACTGCACATAGAAAATTAATTCTTAAAGCTTTAAAAATAGGAATAAATATATTCACAATTTCAACTTGCTCATCCTTTCAATTACATTTCACTGTAAACCCTAGGTTTTATAGTGCATAATGGCTTTCTATTAGCTTGCTAGCTGCCTTGATAAATAAAATGTTAATTATTTTTGCATTGGATTTTAGATGATCAACTTGCAGTATATTAAATTGTAATTAAACTTATCAATAAACAAAAATTCTACTTTTGGTTTTCAAATTTCTTTACTCTCAAAAACCTTTGTGTGTGTGTGTTTAACACTTTGGGATAGTGTTTTAGACTCATTTGGTAATAATAAGTATACATAGAGTATAACATATGCTCTAAAGAGAGACTTTAAGGTCTTTGGAGAAAAACATACTATATTTATTAACTTAATCTTGCTGCAAGCAAGCAAGCAAACGGGTCATAGACAGTTAGATTGAAAGGGCTATTTGAGTTTTAGCCCTAAATGTTAAGACTTAGGGTATTTGTTTATCTTTGAGCATGTCACTAAATCTGCCAGTGCCTCTATTTTTATATGTCCTAGTGATAATGAAACCTTTCATTATAGCTTTTCAGAACACTTCTCATACATTCCCATTTGATCATCACAACAGTCCTGTGAGGTGTGCGTGGTGTATACCACTATCCTCATTTTACAGATAAGGAAACCGAAACTCAGTGGTAAATGACTTGTCAAGGTGACAAAACTGTTAAGGATCTACAAACCTTGCTCTCTGATTTGGACCTTTAGCCAATGCTCTTGCCACTAAATGCTTTCATATTCATGCCTGAAAAATGGAGATTCCATGGATCAGTGATGTGATGCTAACGTATTGCAAATATTGAAAACAAATGAGTAGAACATTTTTAAGTTTTATAGAAATATCAGGGAACAATATTTTATTCTTTCTAACTGTAATTAAAATAGGGATTAACTGACTGTAAACATAATTTTTAATAATACTTGGCCCCTGGTGACCAGTTTTGTTTGCTGATGAAGCTATATAGTCAAGTCATCTGAGGGCCTGGCCAGTGACACAGTCAGAATTAGACACCTGCCTGGACTTAGTCCTAATCAGAAGCACTGACTGACTGATTGACTAGCTTTTTAGGTAAGCCTTTTTATAAAATTCTGTTGGTGTTTCTCTGGACCTGGAGTTAAGGTACTAAATTTATTTTATATTTTTGGTAAGGTTAGTTCTATTCCTATTTGTGGCATTCATTCCGAATAATGCTTACTGAGCACTATATGCTGTGACTTTGTGACTTTGGTTAAATGGTTTCATTTCCCTGGGCTTGAATTGGTTCAACCTCTACTTTAAATCCTTAACTACAGAATGGACGATAATTAGAGTTTCTTGTATTTTGAGGATGTGCCTTGGGTTAAGTCCCATGTTCTGAGGATAATTTCTAAATTTACATGGTCATAGACAAAAGATATTGGTGGGATAT